CATGATGGGACAATGTGTGGAGGTAGTGAGTAATTGAACTGCAGTCAGAAAGTATTGTTGAAGTTAACGTTCGTTGTTATAGCGTTTGTTGTGGAGCGACTGTTGAAAGTGGGTGTATCGGTAGGGTTGTGTTCTGAGGGAATAAACCGGTTTTGTTGAGCGAGGACTTGTGTTGCCGAGGTTTCGTCGGAATGAAGTTGCGGAAAGTTGGCTGACGAGTGGAGACGTAACAGTATAAACTAATATTGTAGTTAGCCTATGTACTGAAAGTATAAAATGAAATGTACAAACAACAAAACTGGAAAAATATTTGTTGATTTCTTAATTTTGAGTCTCTATTGATAAAAAGGTTTGTATTTTATTAAAAACGTTGGTGATATAGCAGAAAATAGCTTGATTCAGAAACAATTTATCTTTAGAATTGAATCGATATTTTTACTTTCATGATAACTTTTATGCACTTGACTCTAGGCTAGGTAATCCTATGTCCTATGTCTTTACTTTAGGCTTATTATACCAACATTCACTACACTTATAAGGTTTCACAGCACACAGTCCCCTTGCACCCCAGTCACTAAAATCATAATGGCCAGACAGTAATCAAACTATTCTATCTAGATAAATGCATTTTGGCTTTTATGTCTCCTCCTATTTCAAGAAATTAAGAGAAATCAAGCATGACATGATGTGACACACACCGGTTTTTATATAGGTTAGAAGATATTTTAGCAAGTATAATTACTTCTAGACTTAGACATTATTGATTGGATATTATAGCAGATATAATTAATTCTAGATGTGGATATTGTTGACTGGATATGTGGGCATTAATGATATTTATATAGCATCAGGTATGATTACTTCTAGATTTAGAGATTAGTGATAATCTACTATACAAAGTATAATTAGTTATGGATGTAGATACTATAAGATGGATATTGTACCATATATAATTACTTCTAGATGTGGACATTACTGATTGTAGCTGTTATAAATAGTTCTAGATGTAGACTATATCTATTGAATATTGTATCAGGTATAATTAGTTTTAGATGTAGAATATATTTGTTAGATATTGTACCAGATATAATTAGTTCTAGATGTGAACATTATTGATTGTTTATTGTAGCAAGTTTTATTGGTTCTGGATGTGGACATTATTTATTGTTTATTGTACAAGATATAACTAGATCTTGATGTAGCCATTGATTGAATACTGTAACAGACATGATTATTTCTAGATGTAGGCATTATTGATTGTTTATTGTAGCAGGTTTAATTGGTTCTGAATGTGGACATTATTTATTGTTTATTGTACCAGGTATAACTAGATCTTGATGTAGCCATTGATTGAATACTGTAACAGACATGATTATTTCTAGATGTAGACATTATTGATTGTTTATTGTAGCAGGTTTAACTAGATCTTGATGTAGACATTGATTGAATACTGTAACAGACATGATTATTTCTAGATGTGGAAGTTATTGATTGTTTATTGTAGCAGGTTTAACTAGATCTTGATGTAGACATTGATTGAATACTGTAACAGACATGATTATTTCTAGATGTGGAAGTTATTGATTTTTTATGTAGCAGTCATAATTAGTTATATAATTGGATATTATTGATTAACTATTGTAGCAAATATAATTAGTTCTAGATGTAGAAATTGTTCATTTTTATTGTAGAAAATTTATTACTTCTAGACAAGGATATTATTAATTGTTTATTGTTTCAGGTATAATTATTTATACTTGTTGGTATTATTGATTGAATATTGTTTTAGGTACAATTAGTTCTAGATGTAGACTATATTTATTGAATATTGTACCAGGTATAATTAGTTCTAGATGTAGGCTATATTTATTAGATATCGTACCAAGTATAATTAGTTCTAGATGTAGATATTATTGATTAAATACTGTAGAAGGTATAATTATTTTTAGATGTGGACATTATTGATTGTTTATTGTAGCAGGTTTAATTGGCACTGAGTGTGAATATTATTTATTGTTTATTGGACCAGGTATAATTACTTGTAGAAGTAGGCTATATTTATTAGATATTTTATCAGGTGTAATTAGTTCTGGTTGTAGGTAATATTGATTGAATACTGTAGCAAGTATAATTATTTCTAGATGTTGACATTATTGATTTTTGTAGCAGTCATAAGTAGTTGTAGACTTGGACATTATTATCTATTGTAGCAAATATAATTAGTTCTATATTATTTATTATTGATTTTTTATTGCAGAAAATTTGTTGCTTCTAGATGTGGACATTATTTATTGTTTATTATAGCAGATATGGTTAGTTCTTATTGAGTGAATATTGTAGTAGGTATTATTACTTCTAGATGTATACATTATTGTTTGTTTTTTAGTAGGTATGATTAGTTCCAGATGTAGGCATTATTGATATTTTATTCTAGCAATTATAATTACTTATTAATGTAGAGATTAATGATAATTTACTGTAGAAGATATGATTCGTTCTAGATACAGACATTATAGATTGGATATTGTAGTAGATTTGATTTGTTCTGGATGTAGACGTTACTGATTGGTTTTTATAGCAGTTATGATTAATTTTGGATGTGGAAATTATTCTTTATTTGTTGTAGCTAATATGATCACTTCAAAGTTTGACATTATTGATTGTTTATTGTAGTAGATATGGTTAGTTCTGTATGTGGATGTTACTGATTGGATATTGTAGCAACTCTAATTACTTCTAGATTTGGACATTATTGATTGGATATTGTACTAGATATTATTAGTTCTAGATGTAGTCACTATTGATTTGATATTATTGCAGGTAGGGTTATTTCTAATACGATGACTTACTTTCATGCATAGGTCAGCTTCTTTCCTTTTGAAGTTGCACTATTTTGTCTTAGAGAGACATTTGTGCCACCAGCTTTGTAAAGCTCCCACCTAAAATTCACATGAAAACACGTAAATTGGCATTACTTTGTATTTTCAAACTTTCAATATGAATTAACAAATTAATTTTAATTGTTTGTGTACTGCTCTAAATAGAAATATCATTCACACTCGATAACAATTTAGGAAGTTCTTGCCTGTTGAGATAGTGACAGGCCATTATGTATTGCAAAAAATGCCACTCAGGTTGACAAATAATGTAAAAAGAAGAGTAACATAACATCATCCAACATGTGATGGGGTCCATTGTGTTGCCTTGACCCTCTTCTTCTTCTGCTCCTGCTGCATATTTCCCTTCACAGATTTGAAACTGAAGTTGAGGAGGATGAAATAGAGCAACGTTTCCACCCAGTACTTCTCTATCTACTTAATATCTCTCAACTTTTCCAAACTATATGTATGCCTTCTACCCATCGTTTCCTTTCTTCTTTCCTGTTAGTGCCATACCTGGCATTTACTTCAGGTTTCAATTCACTCCCACTGTTTTATGCCTTATCCTTCCTGCCTTCCCAGCTAACATGTTGAAGTTGTTGTTTACATATAATTTAGTTTTTATTAACCCATACCTCATAGGACTTGATGTTTTAACATTATTTGTTATTCCTTAACATGTCCACTTAAAGTACATCATTTAGAACTAGTTTGTTACTCATTATCTTGTACTAGTTAGATTATAATGTTTAATCATAGTTACTTACTCCTAACATATACCACTTAGTATATTATGTTCAGTCATAGTTTATCTCTCTTTCACATGTACACATAAATGTTAATGGTTGGTCATGTTCACTTATTTCTTACTATGTATACATAGACATTAATGTTTAATTACAGTAGGTTGCTCTTATAACACAAGATATTGTTATGACAGTGGATATTACGTGATGCTGGTAACACGTCATGAGTTTCTAGAAGGATCCTTACTTTTCCTGGCAACTCTAGTCTTTTCCAGGTGCCCTCTATTTTAGTATATAAGCCTGGCAAATAATTGCAGATAGACAGATATAGAGACAGATAATTGAGTCAAGCGAGCGGTTGTGACCGTATGTAAAGTGCGTGAATCGTTGTGAATTATAGCGTGTGTTTAAGTTAAAGTGACTGTGGAAATTCTGTGTATTGCAAAGTTGTATTGAGAAAGACTAAACTAGTTTTATTTAAGAAAAGACTTGTATCACTGAAGTTCCTCAGGAAGAATTTATACGGTAAATTAACAAACGACCTGAGATGTAACAATATTTTGTTCTGGTTTATTACTCTTTGATATGTACAAGTAGAAGGGTTGCCTTTGGATGTTGTGGAGGCAGTAAATTTAAGTCAGTTTAAGAGAAAGCTTGATAGCTATATGAATGATAAGAGCTGGTTCTGGGGGTTTATTTTATTTTATTTATTTCACAATTCTAGTTTATTTTAGAGGATGGGACAACCAAGATGGAGCAATAGATCCCTTGTTGTCCCTAAACATTATGTTATATGTTATGTTATTGGTTAAGAATTGTATTATGTATAATTAGTTCCAGATGTAGAAAATATTTATTCCTTATTATAGTAGATATTATTAGTTCTAGATGTGTACATTATTGTTTATTTTAGCAGCTATAATCATTTCTAAATGTGGACATTATTGATTGTTCATTGTAGCAGGTTTGCTTAGTTCTAGATGTGGGAATTATTGATTGGATACTGTAGTAGGTATTACTATTTCTAGTTGTTGACATCATTGATAGTTTATTGTAGCAGGTATAATCACTTTTAAATGGGAATATTATTGATTGTTTGTTGTAGTAGGTTCAGTTAGTTCTATATGTAGACATTATTGATTGGGCATTGTAGCAGGTACTTTTAGTTCTAGATCTGAACGTTGTTGACTGTTGTTTGTAGCAGGTTTGATTATCTATAGGTGTTTACAGACAGATATATAGTCTAAAAAATGTTGTTTTTTCAGTGTTTTAACTTAACTTTAAAAGCGATATGATCAATATTTCTTGATGGATTCTTTGTTTCCCAGCTCCTGTACATATTATACCTGGTCCCAAAGTGATAAAGGCCAAAGAAGGAGCATCCTGTATGCTTCCATGCAATGCAGTAGGATTCCCACGTCCAAGTGTCACATGGTGGAGATTCCAAAAAATGTTACCTCTTCTTAGCACCCGTTATAAGCAGTTGCAGAACTATTCACTGCTTATTTACTCAGTAATTCAGCATGACCAGGGCCAGTACACTTGCTTGGCACATAATGGGATAGGCCCCACAGCTTTGTGGGAGACCACGTTAATAATTGAACGTCATATGCCAAATGTTGATGAATCTGAGCTTGATGTTGTCAGTGAGCCAACTATGAAAACTAGAGAGCTGAATAGTCAGAGTCTGTCTACTTTACAAACAACTACAGAAAATACAGAATTGGATGTGGCTCATCACGAATTATATGGTAGCAGTTATGTTTAAGTTCTTTGTAATTTTTTGACCTGTACAGTACAAAACATAATGATAATTTAAGATATAACTGATTAAAACAGCAGTTTTTGATAATAACCCATTGCTAATAAGCTAGCATAAACATGTATTTTTTATTTTCTTGTCAGTTTAAGTAACAGACTTTAAAGAACATGATTGAAAAATTTCAGTCAGAAATTATTCACAAAAATATTCCATTTTAAGTGATAAAAGTTTTAACTAATTACACAAGTCGTGACCCACAAAACATTTACAGTTGTTTTCATGTACACCATTTGAGCTACGCTGCCTTGCAGACATTTTGTGTTACATCGATAAATCCTGATATTTTTCTTGTCTCTTATGGGGATTGTATTGTAATTGAAGTAGGTGCAAAATAATTTTTCTTTATAATAAAGTAATTGTATAAAACTAGCATGAAAAGGAAAGAGGAATTAAATTGTTGCCCTAAGTATAGTATCTTGTTAGTTTGTACCTCTACATTCATTTTATTCCTCTCTGAATACTTACCTTTACATTTACTTGAAATATAACTCTTTAAGTTAGCATTTAAAGGAAAAAGGTATCATTCTCATATCTAATTTTCATTATTTTCACCTGTAGTTTTTACCTCAAAAGGTTCTTCAAAATGGACTTTGATCTCAATATTTATTGTAAATAGCAAATCATGCAGTCAGTGATGAAAAATATCTAATATATTTTTGCCTATTATAAAGAATTATTTTAGTACTATTTCAGAGTATGTCACAGTGAAATAGATATTAAGTTATAAATTCCTAATCTGTATTATTCAACACTTACAAATTGATAACTGTATACAAGTTCTAGGCCCAAAAATATATTACTTGGGTCATACTTTTTAAAATATGTATTATTTTCTGTTTCTCAGTCACAACTATGTTTAAAGTGTGGTCACTAAACCAACAAAACTATTATTTTATAGTGAATTTTACTGAAGATGAAAATATTAAAGATATAGTTACTAAGGTTTATAAATGATTTTCCTTCCCTTTATTAGATTCAGTGCAGAATTGATTGTGTGTAGGTTTGTTTGTTTGTTTGTTTGTTTTTGAATTTCGCGCAAAGCTACACGAGGGCTATCTGCACTAGCCATCCCTAATTTAGCAGTGTAAGACTAGAGGGAAGGCAGCTAGTCATCACAACCCAACTCTTGGGCTACTCTTTTACCAATGAATAGTGGGATTGACCATCACATTATAATGCCCCCATGGCTGAAAGGGCGAGCATGTTTGGTGTGACGGGGATTCGAACCCGCGACCCTCAGATTGCGAATCGAGTGCCTTAACCACCTGGCCATGATTGTGTGTAGGAAAATAACTTAGTTATGTATTAAGGCTTAATAAGTGTGTAATTTGTCATGGAACAATGCTGTGAAAATACCACTGAAATAGACAATGAATGGACGTCAATAAACATTGCTTATTTATATAACATTCAATAATCCCTGAAATTACATTTACCATAATGCCTGAAAATGAACTCATTATATTTTCAAATCATTATCTGCCTGTGTCTTTTAAGTTTGCTGCTCAATATGGAAAGGTTAGGTTTCAAAATATAGCTACTAATAAAAAGATTCACTTTGTTGTTTTTTTGAACTGCTTAAAACATTGATTTTCATTTCTTGAAATATCAATAACTAGTTAGTATTTTTATTATAAGGACCAACTTCTGGATCAAATAGGAATGCTCTTAATATAATAATATAATAAGCACTGTCAGTATAGTTTTGTCTCAGAAAATGTGTTTCTTCAATTTTCGTTAATTTGATGCCTTTAATAGAAAAATAATCTGTTTTTCTGATGATACTTTAATGGAGTTTCAATTCATTTTGCCACTAATGCACATTTCAGTTAACTTTTAAATTGAAGTGTGCTGATGTTCCAGAGCTATTGGGAGATAATGTTAAAATCTAAAATTTTTATATATTGTTACGTCTCTGGTCATTTGTTAAGTTCCCAGTATAAATTCTTCCCGAGTAACTTCAGCGATACAAGTTCTTTCTTAATTAAAACTAGTTTATTCTTCCTCAATACACAGAATTTCAACACTCACTTTAACTTAAACACACGCTATAATTCACAACGATTCACGCACTTTACTTACGGTCACTACTGCTCACTGGACTCAAATATCTGTCTATCTGCTATTCTCTATGCCGTCACTTCTTCTCTCCGCTTTATTTGCCAGGCTTATATATACAAAAATAGAGGGCGTCTGACAAACACGGTCCTTCTAGAAACTCATCATGTGTTACCAGTTTCACATGACTTCTGCTGTCGTAACACTGCCCCTTCCTTAGTATTGTTCATCCAGAACAATAGCCACTTACATTAAATCAATAGATAATTAACAATAACTTGATTAAATTTACAAACACAAAATTAAAATTCAACAAAGTCTCTTAATTTTATGGGATGTATCTTCTTCCGTACTGGTCTCATTGGCTTCTGCTTCACATGGGGCTCATCTGCTTCACCAGGAAATGTCCTATTATCGGTAATAGTCACATCAGTGGTAGTAACTTCATCAAGGGCTTCACTGCTTCCCTTCTCAAAACCGGGTAGAGTTTCTTCTTCGACAGTGGCTTTTTCAGGTGACACGTCTTCAGCAGCGTCATTTGTTCCATTGTTCACTTTGTTCCAACTGAAATGACCTGGACTGTGATACCTCCAAAGCCTGTTGGCATTCACCACCTTTGGTTTACCTCGCTGACCACATTTTATTCGGAAAGTCACGTCTGAGAGACGATCCACTATGTCATATGGGCCTTCCCATGGAGAAGACAACTTAGGAGACTTCCCTTTGGTCTTCCTGGGGTTATACAACCACACCTTGTCTCCTGGTACAAAGCTGACTTCAGTAGATCTCTTATCATAACATAGCTTCATAGAATCAGCAGATGTTTTCAAGTTTGAACACACTTGATGGTGAATATCATCCATTCTTTCCGATAACACTTTCACAAACTCTGACTCATGTTCAGGCATCTCTTCATAAGGGGGCATGCTGTTAACAGATCCACTGGCAACCGAAGCTCCTGACCAAACATCAGCTTTGCTGGAGTGTATCCAGTG